CCAGCGACAGCTACGCCCACTTCGACGTCGCCCTCTGGACCCTGCTCGCTGCCGCCATCTGCCTGCTCCTCGGTACCATCGTCGTCTTCTTCACCTGCTGCAGCGGTCGTCTGCACAAGCGCCGCCAGCAGAGGTCCAAGGTCGACCACTACTCTCCTCCCGCCACGCACACTCCCTACCGCCGTCGCCGCTGGTGGCAGCGCAACCGCTACTAAATTCGGGGCCCGCTCCGGATTTTAGTAGGGATTGATGGGTACCTTTCAGACCAGCTGCGATACTAGTAAAACGTTGCACGTGTACATGAGTTTGGCGCATTTTGATATGGCGCTGGCGTACCGGGAAGGTGTTTTTAATGAAGGGATGGATGAAATTGTGCTGCGAATATGATACCACGCCTGCATCGGCAGGGCATGAAACGTTTTTCTTGTATATTCAGATTAAATTTAATGAAGACAAATTCAAACCACTTTAACCATTTCGCGTGTGATGTCTAGTTTTGTGGATCGTGGGGTGCGATGCGGTATAAAGCGAGCAGGCAACTACAACATGTATTTTGATCAGACAACCAACACAATGCTCCTGCCATGTCGCATTGCATACAAGGTGGTACGAAACCATATCTCTGGAGGAAAATACGGGGAAGGATAGCTGGTCGCTCGCCATCACAGGCTTAAACTAACTCTATCGCTCGGCGCGCTTGGTATTTTTCGGCTATTCTCATCTATTCTCTCCTCGTATTGCTCTTGACAAATGTTCCCTGGTGCCAAGCGGCTTTGCGAGATGAGAGGATAGGTGAAGATAGAAGACGACACGCATGACCATCGTATCTCTCATGACCAATAAAGTCGATGGAAACGACAGAGAATGACATTTTCTTGTCTGAAGCTCTCTAGATCGTTGCGAAGTTGCTTTTTAAATCACTGTCGGCGATCGTGTGGGCAGTTCCTCAGCACAAGCAGCCTTCGGGCTGAGAGGTCTCGTGCTTGCAGCGTGCCTTGTTCTAAGTATGCATGTCTGCGAGGTTCTTCCAGATGGCCAACAGGAAATTTAAGTGGATCGATGTTGTTGTGGAATCTGTTTGATCCTAGTACAGGCATTCGACGACGGAATCCAGAGGGCTGGGTATGTATATAGTTCCACGCTCATGACGCCCTGTCGCCCATCTTCGCTTCTGCTGTTGAGGTATTCTTGCTGAATATTCAATGACTACATCCTTGCCGACCTTGTCTGAGATCCTTCAAGGAATATGTTGTAGGCAAGCTGATTGAAACAGCATGAGGTAACGCTGACGAACAAGATGGACAAGTTGCAGAATTTTGCGAAGTATTTCATTGTTCGGTGGCCGAGGATTCTTTGCAGATGGTTTTAAGGACATATATGTACACTTTCAGTCACACCAAGCACATATCGGAAGCATCGTTGTTTACGAGGAGACAGCTCTCGCTGGCTTATAAAACTCCACTCCCCTAAGTGCTTAGGAAGGCGGAATCAAATATTGAGATTGTCCATCTCTGTTAGTTTCCAGAAGCTTCAGCATCATTGGCTAATACCATCAGTATACATCTGCAATGGCTACCTGCTTCAATGGCGCATTTCTCTCCCTAACTTAACAACACTTCGTCAGTAGTCAATTTCGTCGTCCGCCCTGGCCTGCGGTGGCTTCAGGGTGATTTGGCTGTGGTATTCAGCAACAGCAGCCTATCACTATGAGCTCCGAACCCAATATTTCAAGCGACTTGATTGAGACGGTTCTCTTCTGTCTTGGTTGAGCGGTGAACCAAGGTATGTGAAGCTACGCCATTTTGCCTTGACCTAGCAGTTTCCATGACCCAGTAGCATGTATTTATCAACCCGGCCTAAGTTCAAGATGCTAGTTGCGATTTTTGTCTAGAAGCCTCGGAATCTAGCTAGTCAGGAGAACTGACAGTTTTTTGCTAAAAAGCAGGCCTAGTCGAGTAGGATGACATCCCTCCAAAACAATGAAGAAAATGGTATCGACGATTGGGAGTATTTCATGTTTTCATCGTTCAGCGAGGCTTGACGTCCATCGAGCCATATGGCTCGGCGTCATCAGTACAATTCTTTCGGTTGCGGCTGTTCTGATGTATTCCTCTCTGAACAGATAGACGACAGCAGAAACCTCGTTCAGCGACTGTGAAAGCATACTTCACACGACTCACGTCGAGCTTCAGTGCCCGAGAATGGGCTCTATCACCGACACAGCCGACCTCGGGACTCAACACCCAAGACGCGAGATCCATTCTACATATCTGATCTTGTCCTTGGAAACTTCAAATTTATATACACACGACCCCAGCTGGAATCGAACCATCTTTACAGCCTCAAGTCAAAAGACTACCCAACGCCTTCGTCCATCTGTGGAGTTGCTTCCAATCACATCAACTCTCAATCTCAACTGGCTTCGCTACCAGCCGGACTTGTTGTCTGACAATGTTGCTATGACCGGCTTAGATGAGCCCGATTAGATTAGGTCTCTTCTGCTGATTGAACGTTCGTAGGCCCATCTTAATTGCTGTGTCAAGGCGAGCAGCCTTTAGCATTGCCTACATCCCGCTAAACCCAAGGAATCAATATCAAGAGAACATGCCTGAAGATTAAGTAGTCAGTGGTTCTTCCAGCTTCGTGTTTTCTGTATAAAATGGTATCCGAGCTCAGAATTGTAAGAATAACAAACGCAATGCGGTGTTCTTGTCTATTGGAGAGCAGACGGCCTCTAGTCCTCCACAATAAGAATCTTATGCCTCGGTTTGAGGATCTCTTAGGTGCTGAAAACCTCAGAACTCATGTTGGCCTCTCGTGTAGATGGTTCTGGATATCCTTGTTGCCTTTCGTTTATTCAACGTCTTGGTCTGCTGATAAAGTAGGAATGGAATTGCTTAAATCTGAAGGTTGTGGTGGAAGGATTCAGCTTGTGTAGATCACAAGCTGACGGAGACGAGTTGATCATTTCTCGCCGTTCTGAGTTCTAGTACTCTAGGCTGACTACTCAGAAGGACGAATCGATTGTGTTGAAGAAATTGAACGCCGGCACTCACGGTAAATTTATAGCTTGGGACCACTGAGAAGTGAGGCAGACCATTTGATACCGTTTTCTTTTCGCAGTTTCCCTCCGTCCAGGGGTATAAAAGCAACAATTTTCTGCATTACCTAGAGTTTCTTCATGGCAATCCATGACTCTGTTTCTTAGGTTTTCCTGACAATTTATTCGAGAGGCACCTGAGAAGCAGCATCCCTGAGTTTTTCGCCTATTAGAGTGGTGACAACTAACTCTCCCCCTCCCAGTTAGCTTGCTAGAACGTTGGTCCCATTTCCAGCATCGACTTGAAGATCTCTGGGCTTATCAGACATTACAAGAGGCGAACACACGCGAGAGTCCAAGGGTGCAGGACCACAGAGTGTCAATAGAATGCAGGACGACACTGAAGGAGGAATCTAAAATCATCGGGTGATTCACGTTCTTTGAGCGCTTGTCCTCCGTGTAATTGTCTCTATGCGACACATGACCAATATCGACATGCCATTTGCGCGGTTGGCCTTTGTCGGGTGGAGAGCTCAAGAACGTGAGATATCAGCGTAATTGCTACCGCAGCTTTGATGTTCAGACTTGAAGACTGCCTCAAAGTGATTATCAGGTTTTATACTGAGCGTTATACGCCCAAGACGCTTGTAAGAAGTGTAGCACTGGAAACAATGGGGTGTGAAGTTGTGTACTTGATTGTCTTTTACGAATGTTCCCTCAATACTCTTGTTTGAGGTTTGTGACTATGTTCATATGTATGGAGTACCAGTGTTCATGCTTCAGAGGATTATTTCACTCTTGTTTGCGAATGATAGTTTTTATCTCCGGCAGACATGCCATCTCCTCCCACGACCCATGTGCTTGGCTGACGCGGAAAAGCTGCTGTAACTCGATTTCTGTGTTGCATAAGATACCTAGGCATCTGCATAATGTTGCCTTGTTTCCCTTCCCAAATTTCTCTTATAGTACTCTAATCAACATCGACTAAACGAATGCCTCCGTATCAGTCGACGGCAATGATAGAAGCTGTTTCATTACAAACGGCTGTAGCTCACCTTACAACCGTTTTATACAAAGTTTTCACACAAGGTTTCATCAAGAAGGATCATTCATCACAACTGAATGAAATCCAAGTCCCGAAATTGTCATGGAAATGCATTTCCTGTGGAAGTTTGACAAGTGCAAGAACACCGCTTCTTTTTTGTACATGCGCGACATTTAGCTACGTGGTTAACAGTTCTCAAACGACACCGCTGATGAGTCGTTCAGGATTCGAGGGGAGGCTATCAGTCCTTAAGTAGTACTACTGCCTAAGGTACGTGGTTCAGTCAAGTAAAACGAAAATGAGGAGTCCAGAACCGTTCTATGACAACCGCAGGAGTCACAATGGATCTATCCTGTGCCGCTTAAGTCTGGCGAGCTGGAAAATCCCATCAGCTGAATGTTGCGAGGGGTATGTTCCGTTGAGATAATCATGAATGAACTGAGCAAATGCGCCACAAGTCCCGGACGACAGAGAGTAGGATGTTCCTTAGATTGGGCCGTGGAGTGAAGCATGTGTGCATTGCTCATTAGCTCCCTTCAGACTGCAAGTCAGGCTAACCACTCGTGGGATTTAGTCCTCGACCACTACTGTTGGTGGCATTGCTTTTCAGAGACTGATTCGGGGATGTGAAACTGGCTTTTATGTAGAGACCTTATGGCGTTGGTACCACCAGTTGCCAGAAGTTTCAATGTTTCTGCAACTTCTCGTGGACTTTGGTAGACTATGCCAAGCAGGCATCGGCAACCCGTCAGCAGCAGGGTGCAGGACGCCCAAAGTGCATGCATATTTGTGGCCCAATCATAACTCTCATTGGGCCGTCAAATGCGCGCGACACTGCCCCTCCATGGTCGTTCATGACATCCATAAGTTCTACAGCCTGATCAGCCCGGAGATGTTTTACCCTTAGACACAGTCATGGCGGACCCATTCTCCATCGTCACAGGCTGCGTGGGCCTCATCACTGCAGCGGGAGCGACAACCGAGGCCATAAAGTCCTTCATACGTGACTGTCGAGACGCTAGGGGCGATCTCACGAGTGTCGCGCGCGAGTTGGCTGACCTGCAACTAATACTCGAGCTGCTGAAGGACGACGGCCAGGGCGATGCGCTGCCGAATTCGTTCCAGGAGCAGATCGACCGGATCGTCAAGAGATGTAGCAGCGTCGTAAGGGATATCAGGCACGTATTGAAACGATGTAAAGCGCCGTCCAGGGCTATAACGTGGGCCGCCAATGAGAAGAAGGAGGTCGAGGCTTTGAGGAGAGAGTTGACGACTTACCGTGAGTCGCTAAGCTTGACTGTCGAAACGACCACATTGTAAGTGTAGGCCTCGAATACAATTTTACCAACCCACTCGCTAACAGATATTATGTCTAGATTTATTGCTAGAAGCATAAAAGCAGATACGGAAGTCATTCGAAACCAGACGCAGTTCATCCCGGGCATCAAGGATGATACGGAGAAGATACTGGAAGAAACCCAACGGCTTCGGGTCTCACATCAACCAGAAGATGGCAATATCAAGCGCAAAGATATCCTTATCGAAGAGTATCTTGATGGTCTCACAGTCTGTGCAGAGTCCGTTTGTGGAGATGAAGTCCGAGAATCTGCTGGCGAAGGCAAAACGAAAAAAATTGATAAGACGGCCAACGATTTGCTAGCCACCGTATCTGTCAGCAAGTCGCACAAATCGAAAATTTCCGAGGTTGAAGAGAAGGTGTTGTCATCCGAGTCTTCATCACTGAAAAGCAAGTGTAACAACTGCGACTCGCACATTGACGAGGGGGCGCTTAAAGTGAAACATTGCGGTCATTGGTTGTGCAGCAAGTGTATACAATCGAAAGTGAAGGCGTGTATTCAACCTCCTTATGACCGCCCTGGATGTTGTAACCGGCACCTTGAATGGTGGCAAATAGGACGCTCTATGGACGACAAGCTCAGGAAGAAAGTGAACCGGATCTGGAAGCCTCTAACGTGTAGTTGCGGAATAGGAGGATCGAATTACATTCTTCAATCATCATCGCCGAGAGAATGCATAATCTGCATTTGGTGCGGCCAAGGGGTCTGTTCGTGGTGCGAAAAACACTGGCATGAAGAAAGCCAGTCAACTTGCGCACCAAAACCAGAGGTAAACCCAATGGACTGGGAATACGATAACCTGACCACAAAGCTTCTTCGTGGACTTTGTTTACCATGTTGAAGCGCAGATGTCTTCCAGGGGAGAAGCGTACGGCAAAGGATCTCAGACGGAATATTGGCATGGTATAGGAAGTTTCCTTAGTTCGAACTTGTGTAGTATTTCCTCCACAATTGCTCATAACATTCGCACCATTGAGGTTGAGATCTTCTAATGAGCGGAAGATGCCGTCTCAAATGAACCGGCCGAACGTTAGGCACGAGCTTAGGCTCTTTCAACCGTCTGTCATTTCGGCACGTGAACAATCCGAGCGAGAGAGCTATTGGCAGACAGACAAGGCGAGCGCTCGTCCATTCCAAATATCAGCCCGAACCAAGCTGCATCAGTGTCAAGTCCTGTGAGGCTAAGCCAACGGGTGAGAGTCTGCTTAGCTCGCCGATTTCCCTTTCACAAGGCAGCAGCAGCCGCAGTAGCAGAGACGTTGGAGGCTTGAGGCCATGGCGCCGATGTGCCGCGACCCGGAGAGGTGCCTCTCCCGAGGATTAGCGCTGAAGGCAGCGGTCCAGACCAGACCAAGCCAGCTGAGGAAAAAGCCACTGCATGACAGACTAAGGTACGCAGAGGTTTATTTGATATCGCAGATTTGGATGCGATCGTTGACGGTGGTGGATCCTCGTGCCAGAGGTTAGACAAGAACATTGTACCCAAAAAGCCAAACTTTAGGCTGGGAACGGAACTACGTTCCTGCCAGACCCAGCAATTTGGTGAGTGATCACCCAAATCCAGAGGAGTGATCCACGTCTGACTTCAGCGTGGTATGCTGAACTCTTCAGAAACATTCCATCTGCCGGAGTTCGGATCAGTAGCGTCTTGTCACGCTTGGGGTGGCAGGTTTTCCTGTTTTTCAGTCTTTTTCTCTCCCCCGCCCCCCAGGGACAGGCTTCAAGTTCAGTCGGCAGCAAGGTACCGACGGGGTCCAACTCAAAATGCGAGACGGAGGTTTCTCAGTGGGAACGGGGGGTCGGGGTTGCCGTACTGCCGTTCGGCGCGTCGACGGGGTTGTGGAGCAGGTTTTCAGCTTGCGCTGGCAAGATTCGACATGGTGACAGTGGCGGCGTCAATGGTCATCGAAAGAAGAATGATGGAAAAGATTCACGGGGGCCGCGTAACGCGAGCGCTGTGGCTGGTCTTGGCCTAGCTCATCGCGGTGGCCAATGGGACAATCGTCGGGGTTCTTGCGGACCCGCTTTTGTGTGGCGGGGCTGCTCTCGGCCAATCAGAAACAAGGCGCAGCTGCTCGGTGTCGTCAGGGCAGGTGAGGGGGACCAGAGAGGGCACTGAGGTCAGTCAGGTCGTCAGGGTCCTGCGGGCAGCGGTGAGCCCCTCAGTTCTCGCTGCTTCCTTAGCCGGGACTGGAGGTTGCCCTGGTGTCGATTACTGAATGAGGTAAGGAGCAGGGGACAGGGGGCAGGGGAGGTCAGAGAGGCTCAGAGTCCAGCTGGGAGAGGCAGGCGCAGAGGGCCCGTAGTACGGATAGTGGGTCTCTTAGGGGCCCGAGGACGCTGGACGAGTGCTGGAGACCGCGGGTCCCTGAGGTGTTTTGGTGAAGCATTTTCATTTAGTTTTGTTCAAATTGCTCACCGGCTCGTTTTACCGCAATAGGCTCGGTGTACGGCCCTTCTTAGCCTTATTAGATTAAAAGACGCAGAGATCGGGGGCGGTATCGGCCAGCGAAGAAGGGCACAGAAGAAGCATAGTTGGATTTAGCTTAGGTAGCGCGGATACCCCGTGTGGCTGCTGCTACCCTGGAGGTGCTACTGCAGGCAGTTTGGGGAATAGGGCTAGGCGCCCGGAAGCCAATCAGCCCGTCAACGTGGATGCCGATGTTGCTGGCAGCGATGGGAAACTCGTCAGAAAACCTGTCTGCAGTCAGCGTGGTCCGGTAGGTCTGCTGCGACACATGTTGCCACACCGGGCCAGTGAGGAGAAGGATAAGCGAGACAGGTTGACAGACTGCCAGCAGTGGTGTCGCAGCGCTGCAGTGCGTGAGTGCCAGTGCCTCTGCCCAGCTGCCGTTGGATCATCGGAACGCTAAAGAAAGCGAGGTGACGATGGACGACGGGTGTTTTCGCTTGCAGTGCCTGACGAGGTCTGGGGTTGTTGGAACTTGGTCGAATCATCAAAGGGCAGGAGGGCGAATCTTTACTCTCTTTGGGCAGGTTTCTGGGGGACATGAGTAGCGACTCCCTAACGCCAGCAGTAGCACATCGCTGGGCCAGTCAGAGATAGGTTTGGCTTGCTACGGGAGGTCTCCAAGCCAAACAGGGACTGCACTGTCACGGACGATTGCCGGCCACCTGCCATATTGCGATCTGTTGCTTTAGACTTGGACCTTACTTGGCTAGTAATGAAGATAGTGTCGTTGAGCAAACACGTCCACCAGATAGGTAAATTGGAAGGCACGTTGGGTACCTTTATTGCAGAGGCTAAAAAAGGTACCGCACGGGCACGCCTTTCTGCCCCCTTTGTTCAAGTACCTGCCAGCCACCTGCGGATATGACCGACCAGCCGGGTTGACCTTGCGGACCCAGAGATGCCAGATGCTACCCGGTGATCATCGCAGGTATCCTATCCTATCCTATCCTATCCTGTCCGTATCCTGCTGGCCGCGGCATTCTCTCCCTCGCTCGCTTTCAGACGTCTGTTGTGCCCTCTCATGATATAAACGAACCGGGTTGCCGCTGCCCGTGTTTGTGGCCTTGTCCACCTGAATGTCATCACTCGCCTCCACTTCCAGCATAACCAACGCAACGTCAACCGACTATCATAGCCCACATCATCCACGCCCAAAGACCACAACATGAGCACGATCATCGACGAACAATAATAACGACCAACGACGCTCACTCATAACCACGACCGCCCCTGCTTCCACGAACCTTTCCGTCTTGCTCCTGCCATCTCTTCAACCTTCCCACACGGCTTACGGCTCGCCCATTCCACGATTGCCTCATCGACCCCCGCAAAGCCGTTTCAGCATCGACGTCGCAGCATTTCTTGACTCTTTGCTTCTTCCGCTCAGAAGCCGGTTCGCCCACAAAACAAAACAGCCCATTCCCTACCGCGCGCTTGTTCAGTGGAGAACACGCAGGACCCTTTTCACCGAGCCTTTCGTCATCTTGGTTCTATCATTCGTCAAGAAGGAACCGAATTCGACCCCGTCTCTTGGATATTACCTGCCCGTCACGCGGATACGTTTTCGGTGTAATAGACGCTCACACTCGCCCGTCCGCCCTCGACACCCAGCGTGCCAGCGTGTTTCCGTCCCGCCGCTTTCTGCCCAGACTCTCCGCCGTCTTACCGCCTTCCAAGACCCCAAGGCCAAGTCCTCGCGTTCCACCTCTGACGCCCAGTCCCGGAATACCGGCACCGCTTCGCGCCAATCGCCTCGGCCTCTCCAGGTAAGCCATGCCATTTTCCACAACTCGCTTTTTTTGCCATGTCTCTTTTTTCCTACCTGCCTGTTTTCTTCCACCAAGCTCCATCCTCCGACCATCCTCCGTCACTCATTTCATCCCGATCCATCTGGCATCATCCGCCTCCCACCGGAACCCTTGCATCCTCCACTCGTCATTCGTCGGCCCGTAAAAGAGGAAACGCCTTGCGGACACGCCGCCGGGTCATCCGTGCTTTCTAGAAGCAGAGGCTCCCACCCATCCCCTGTCGTGCCCGTCGTCCTGGTGCTTGTTGTCGGTGGTATTTTGCCTTTTTTTGTTGGGCGGTTGGGACAGTTCCCACGGGCACAGCACTTCCGTCCCCATCCAATGAAGACGCCACGATCAGAGTTCGAGGAACATGACACAGCCAAACACAACCGGCCATGACCTCCAACTGTGTGTGCATTGCATGGCCGAGTCCCTCATGCAGGTCATCCCAGGCTCTCAGGCTGTCCATTCTTCCGCTCAGCGAGTTTAGTGCTCGTCTGTCCTCTGAGGTGCAGCGGGAACAAACCTAAGCCGGAGCGGTGCCTTAGCAGCAGCGGCGTGCATTCTTGCAGCTCTCCCGGGCACTCTGTTCCCCCGCCTCCCCCTGCACACACCCAGTCTCTTGCTGGCATTGCTGCACTGCTTGGAGCTGCTGCGGCCAGTCATTCGTCGATGATGGCTGCGCTCGACTCGACTTTGCAAGCGGAAGGCCGAGCCCGAGCGAGGAGCAGTCATGGAGCGAGAGCGACGGGCAACCTGTTCGTCCATACCTTCCTTACACACACGAGAAACAAGACGCAGCACACCTCCACAGCCCAAGAGGCGGGACGTTACGTGTTTGTTGCTAGATGCAGCCATGGCGAGAGAAGCATAGGCCAGTAGCCACACCCGCACCTCGATGCGCTGGTGCGGTGCAGCACCTGATGCACCCCTCTAAATACTTGCCTCCCCCCGCCCATTCCCGCGGTTGTTGGGGCGTCGAAAAGAAGAGGAGTCGATTTCTGCCTGCAGTCGAGTCGTCTCGCTTGTCCAATTGCCAACCGCTGCATCTGCTCTCGTCTCGTTCCTGGGCCTGCCGGTCTCATTAACTGGTCTCGCCTTTTTCGGGAGGGGATTCGTAATTGCCCAAGACGCTAAAGGATCAAACGGCAACATCTCATAAACCCACGAGAAAGAATCCCGTCGGCGTCTCGCCCTGAAGCCCGGTCCAGTCTGGTCTTTATTTCCGCCTTTGTCTCTTCCGATATTCCAGTTTCGTTTCCTGAACACCTTTTTGCCGCCTAGTCTGAACAGAGAGCAGTCTCTCACTCATTCCCCGGCTCTTTTCTATCTTCTGTTTCCCCACGACGCTACTATTCCATTGAATATCAGCCACTCAAGACCAAGACCGTTCCTGCGACCGTCTCCATCTCGCATACTATCTCGCACTATTTTATCTTCGATCGACTCCCCACAGAAACTAAGATCGCATCACCGCAGAGCCTCACAAAATGAACGCCACACCACGAAGCCCGTCAACCAAGAGCACGAAGAGCCAAAACAGCCTTCGTAACACTGGCTTTCCTGAACCTTTCAACGGAGGTATGTTAACCATCAGATGGTCAAGTTAGAATTATTGAAGCTGACCAACCCAGACCGTAACACCACACTACCACACCCCGATGCCAACCTCTCACCAAACGCCGTCATCTCGCAGGATGATATCGACTCCAGCAAAGTGATGGCCAGGACACGCCGCTCATTCCTCCAGAAGCACAAGCGAACCATCAGCCACGGCGTTATCACCCCGCAAATGGCCGCCATGTACCGCGAGATGGGGGGCAGCGACGCCGACTCAACCGCCATCCTCGAGCACGACATCCACTCCAACACCAGTCAAACCAGCCTGCCCGCGGGCCGCATCAGCAAGGACGGTGCCGAGAGCATCTTGTCACACAGCGGCGATCTGTCACCAGTGACGTCGGAGACGGGACGCAAGGGCAGTCTGTTTAGGAAGCTCGGCTGGCGGAAGTAGAGCACGACGGCCGAAACTCCTGCGAGAGACGCCAAGAAGGATTCCGCTCCGGAAGACGACGACGACAAGAAGTTGAGCGTTGAGACAACGCAACGCAAATGACGACACGGCCGAAAATTTGTAAAAACAGACATTACCAGCGCAAGCGTGGAGTTTTATTTATTCATGGGTTTATAGGACGGGTTACTGGTGGGCTTGGGAACATGGGGATTAGGCGTACACAACACAACGGGCGGGCTACTTAAAAATGGAACATGGGGAACATCTTCCCCTCGACTTCTTCTTTCTTTTGTCACTGTCGAAGCCCGCCCTGCAGGCAGGGATACACATTCCCTCTCAAGGAGGGATAACCTAGGATGGGACGATGAAGACACTATCGTTAACCAGCAGATTTTTAGTAATCACATCACTGAGTTGCAAGGTTCTTGCACCATTGGATATCATGTTTTGTTCTCCGCTGCTACACGCATGCGAATGCCTGTCTGTGCAAATGCCACACGCGTACCTCACTAACCCAGGTCCCTCAACTTCCGCGATTCCATGTGCCCACGCACCCATGCAACCCGCGCTTAGCTGCCGCGGTACGTCGTATAGCTATACGGACTCACCAGCAGCGGGACATGGTAATGCTGGCCCTCCTGGACGGTGAAGACGACCACGGCCTCGGGGAAGAAGGTCTTGTCGTCGCCGCCAAAGTACGCCGCCGTGTCGAAGCGCAGCTCCCAGCGCGAGGGGCCCTTGATCTCGCCCAGCACGTCCTCGAGGGTGTACACGGGGACCTCGCCGGCGGTCGACGAGGAGGAGTACGGCAGCCAGGCCTTGATGCGGCCGTCGTCGTCGGTGAGGGACTCAAAGGTCTTGGGGAGGGCGGGCTGGCCTGGCGCGGGGGGCGGCGAGGAGGAGGCGGTGGTGGTTGTGGAGAGCTGCACGCGGACGCCGCGGGCGGGGGTGCCGGTTGAGGTGTCGAGGACGTGGCAGGTTATGCGGTCTTTTGTTGGGGAAGCCATCTTTGGGGAGTTTGGGACGGGAAGATGAGGAGGATTGGATTGTGAGGTGAGGTTTGGGGGGAGGGGATTTGGTGATGAGGACGGCTGAAGGTGAGGCGTTCGTGATTAGGCGTCAGTGAGGCTCTCTGCCTGGGCCGGCTGATGGCGGGGTAAGAGGCGCGGTGGTGGTACGGTGAAGCTGCGGCGGCCGGGGAGGGGCTTGGCGGGGTTCCGTTTGGATCTTTGGCTGGCGAAGTGGGGTCGGTCAGCGTCGGTGGCAGGTGTATGTTTGCCTGGAGTGCCCGATGCTGCGGGTTGGATTGATGATCAAGAATCAACCAGCAGGCAGACACCTCGAGACTGGGAAAACGAGGGGAATATGGCTGTATATGCGATTGCACGGGAATGTAGACCTTCTTATGGCCCACGGCGGTGGTTACATTTGATGGGGGTGGGCGACGGCGGGGCACCCGATAATCGCGGTGCACAGCGTCGCAGGGCGCCGGGTCGCGATGCGGAGCAGATCCCTGGGCTGAGGCTGCTCAGCTGTGGGTTTACCTAATTGTCCTAGGCTGCAGCGTCCTAGGACTCTGGTAGTTCTACAAAATGTGGTGCGAGGAAGGCCTGTTATTTTCTTGGGAATGTGTCTCTCACAAATGTCCCCTTCGTTTAACGCCGACCAGTGTCGTGCAGGCAGGTGTCGAGAAAGAGGCGGCGTGCAGCGGCTCAGCCACGCTCTGTGTATTCACCGCTGAGCGACCTTCAGTCTTCTCCACGTAAGAGGATGTCAGCTTTAGCGAGAGATGTCAGATTTCCCAGTGGGCTAGGAGACACGTGGGACGGTCGGGATGCGAGTCGAAAATAGAACATTGCGTGCGCTGGAGGATCGGGGGCGGGAGATGGGCGTGAGGATTTTACGTATGTCATGGCGAGGGGCTTGGTTGTAGGACTAGGCAGGTCAGCTTGCGGCGAGTCCTACATCTTCTAGAACGCGACCAGAACCATTATCCCAAGAACTACCGAGCAATATTCGCGGCTCTCTACGAATACCAGTGATCATGTTATATTTGATGGTATTTCTTGAACGGAAATTCCATTCAGGCCTTGGAGGTGGTCGAGGACGACCGGCACATGCCGGACCCTAGACGGGAGGCCCCGGCGTACTGGGCCTTTGTCACCAAACACCTGCACCGCACCGCACAACCACAGCCAGCCACGGTTGGAGAGAGGTCAGCATTGACTGCGTCATTGGTCCGTGCGCTGTACCGCTCAATTGGATCGCTCTAAACCTTCTTATCAAGCCAATCACAGCACGCCGGTATGACAAGAACAGCCATGCCCATCGAATCTCAGGGGAGAAAAAACTGGACGGACGAACACCAAGAAAAGCCAAGACGGGCGGTTTGGCATGGCATTTTTCGGGCCAAAGGTTATGCCCGTGAGGTACAAAATCTTGCAATAATCGGCATAGGAGAAAAAAAACCAAGGTTGGTGCCGGCGTGTACGCGGCGCGAAGCGATCAGAGGTCTGGATCATGAGAATGTACTGTCACTGACAGCTTGGGAGATGCGCCCAAGAGGCTCCAAGAGGCGCGATGCGGAACGATGATCTCACCTTTGGAAAGTCGCCTGAAGTGCCTAGACGCAGTACACGCCAAAACACCAAGACTCTTGGCTCCCCTGGCTGACGTACTGCGACGCGGTTCCAGCCCGTACCAAAACACCACGGTCGCAGCACATGAAGGAGACGGGAAATCACCGCCCAGAAGGCCAAGCGCATCGCGTCTGATGAGTTGTCCACCATTCTTTGGAGCACCAAGATACAAAACACCATGGTGTCCCTCGTCCCGTCTCTCCCATGGAGGAAGAGTCCTCCCGCTCGCCATATCGTCTCTGAGAACCTCTCAGCCCGCCCCTGAGAACCATCGATGGCAGAGCACCCCGTTACAGACCCCGCCGAGGGAGTTCAGTACCTCACCGAAGACGAGATCAACTCCTTCCTCGACGACCTCGACCACAACGACGACGGCTACATCGACTACGCCGAGGTCGAGGCGAAGCTCGACGCCGCCCACGACGAGCTCACGCCCTCCTCCCAGCTTCAACCACACCACGTCATCAAGAAGTCCCACGACTCCGCCGACGACCGTCTCCGCCATGACTTTCTCCGCTCCATCATGGGAATCTCCGACGAGCCGTCTGCAGACCACCAAAACGACTCCGAAGACCCCCGCAATATCCGCATCCCCCGCGCCGTCTTCGTCGCCCGCGTCCGCGAGTGGAAGGTCCCCTCCCTGAGCCAGGACAAGGCCGCCGAGGACGATGAACGACACTACGTCCGCCGCCTGCGCCCCTGGCGCCGCTTCCGCGCCTACTGGGCCGTCCACGGGCCCGAGGTCGCCTTCCTCGCCCTCGTCACCGGCCTCACCCTCGCCTTCGGCGTCTGGCAGTGCGTCAAGTACGCCACCACGCCGGCGTACCGTGCCGCCTTCGGCTGGGGCGTCGTCCTCGCCAAGACCTGCGCCGGCATGCTGTACCCGACCTTCTTCTTCCTCATCCTCAGCATGTCGCGCTACTTCTCGACCTTCTTGCGCCGCTCCTACCGCGTCTCGCGCTTCGTGAACTGGGACCTCGGCCAGGCGTTCCACGTCAAGATTTCCATCGTCGCGCTCACGCTGGCAACGCTGCACGCGATTGGTCATCTGACGGGCTCGTTCTACCACGGCAGCCGGCCGGCGAACCAGGACGGCGTCGCGGCGGTCCTGGGGCCGGATATGGTGCCCCGGCCGTATGTCGAGTACGTCCGCTCGCTGCCGGGGTTTACTGGCATCACGGCACTGGGGCTCTTCTACGTCCTCGCGCTGTGCAGCCTGCCGCCGGTGCGCCGCTGGAACTACGAGCTCTTCCAGCTCTCGCACCTGCTGATGTACCCCATCATCGGGCTGATGATGGCGCACGGCACAGCGGGGCTGCTGCAGTGGCCCATGTTCGGCTACTTCCTCGCCTTCCCGACGCTGCTCATCCTCACGGAGCGGCTGGTGCGCGTCGGCACGGGGTTCCACCGCATACCGGCGACGCTCAAGGTCCTGGACGGCGAGACGGTCGAGATCACGGCTACGATTCCGAGTGAGAGGATTTGGAGATACCAGGCGGGACAGTACGTCTTCCTGCAGGTACCCGAGATCAGCGCCTTCCAGTGGCACCCGTTCACCGTATCCATCTGCAAGGGGAGAGAGTTCCAGCTGCATATCAAGACGGACGGCAACTGGACGAAGAGGCTGCGGGAGCTGGGCGGCGAGGCGGGGGAGGCGCGCATCGAGGTCGGGATTAATGGCCCCTTTGGCGCGCCGGCGCAAAGGTTCTACGACTTTAGACATACCATCATCGTGGGCTCGGGCATCGGCGTCACGCCGTTCTCCGGCATCCTGGCCGACTTACAAGCCCGCGACGACGACGAGCACGGGGGGCCTACGCACGCCGCCGGCCAGCATCACCACCAGCAACACCGTCACGACTCCGAGACGACCGTGACCGCACCCGTCCACGACGAGAAGCAAGTCCCCAACACCCTCGCGAAGCCGCCGCCACCCTCGCACTCGCAGTCCTTCGCCCCGGACTACCGCCGCGTGGACTTCCACTGGACGGTGCGCGACAGGAACTACCTGCTCTGGATCGCGGACCTGCTCAACGCCGTCTCGCGCAGCCAGGCGTGGCACCGCGCGCACGAGGGCGCCGCGCAGCAGCACCTCGACATCCGCATCGCGACGCACGTGACGCAGAAGCGGCGCGACATCGTCACGCACGTGTACCGCTGGCTGCTCGAGATGCACCGCACCGAGGAGCATCCGCGGTCGCCGCTGACGGGCCTGCTGAACGCGACGCGGTTTGGGCGGCCGGACTTCGACGCGGTGCTGGACAGGCACTACGAGGAGATGCGGCAATTCCGGGCGGCGCGCAGGCGGCTGAGGAAGGGCGGCAGGGAGGGGGCCGGCGGAAATGCCTGCGAGAGTGGTGG